TTTCCCTACCACTTCCACAAGATTTTCCCTATACCTCAATCCCTTCCTTTGTTTCTGGCAACTGGGTTAATGCTGCTACTGTGTATGATACCGTTTTTGCCTGAATTTCTTACTCTTTCTTTCACCAGCTCCTTTCACTGTTAGTATTTTGACACGTACTAAGGTTTTCTCCTATTTTTGTTATAAAAGTGCAGATAAAAATCTATTTCTACTCCCTGTTTTAGCCAAATATATTTTTTCACAAGGTGGAGGAACAGAACCTTTTTATTCCTCCCCCCCACCCTCCCTAACATACCTTTTGGTGGGGAGGTTATCTATCTTGACACCCAAAGACAAAAAGGCAAACTTTGTGGTTTTGCTGCTTTGCGGTAGAATTGGGCAACAAGCGGACATTCTTACTTAATGAGGACACCTCTGATGATGATGCAGAAAAGTCAGTAGTGTTAGCAATAAATTGTATTTTTGTAATTTGTCACTTTAAGTGTGTTTATATTTATGAACTTTTTTTAAAAAAGTGTATTCCTCAGTGGGTGTGTATACCAAAGCGTCCCCTGCTGTTTTGTGTGTTTCCAAAGGAAAATAATACCTATAAATGTTAGGGGCATTTTGTTTTTGTTTTTTAAATGTATTTGTGCCGGACTTGCACATTTTTAGATACCAGGCTCAGAAAGTGACATGCATCAGAGTTCCTTTAAAAAGAAAAGTGGGGTTGCATCGAAGAGCCTGACTGATTTACAGAAATTACTACTACATTGTTTGCTAGTTAGGGGGGAAAGGTTATTTAGAACCCTGTCTGCGGCTTCTGTCCCGTTCCCCAGTCCTAACATCAGATGCAAATGATAAGTGTTCAAGGCCAGAAGATGAACGGAAGGCATGACTACAACCATTCAAATGGCATTTGTAGGTGCAGACAATTCTCAGGTGGTAGCAGGTCAGTCACTGTGAACAAGGGCCTGCCTCTCTCCCTTATTTGCCAGTATCTTCTAAACTACTGATGCAATTGTGTGTAGTACGTATTAGTATGCAACTAAATCTCCACAGCTGCTTAAAAGGGAATAGACTCTGGTTTCTCTGTGGTGCCATGTTCTGCAAGCAGAAGGTCCCAGGTTCTACCCCCCCTGGAATCACCAGTCTCTGATGGCAGGTGATGGTAAAGTCCTTCCTCTGCCTAAGATCCTCGCTAGCTGCTGCCAGTCAGAGTAGACAATAGCGAGCCCGGTGGCTTGATTGCACCTTCCTTGCTGCCAACGATAGCCTAGAGATGGAGGGGAGCTGCTACTCTTTCCCAAAGATAAGAATGTAAATGTTAGTGGAGCATTAGGATAGTTTGTCTTGTGGTGCTCCCGGCTACAAGGCAAGGCCCTGATCTCTGCATTAAGAAAGGGGTGGGGTGGAGGCAAGCTGGGGCCTATCAGACGGTAGTGGGGGTTATTAAGTGGGAAAGGCCAGGCAAAGGTTCCCCCTTAATGAGGCTGAAAAGAGTTAGTTTTCCTCAGACAATTAGCTTGCTGGTTTTGTCCTTTTAGGTAATTGAAGTCTTCTCTGCACAGGGAAGGAAGCTTCAGTTCTAGCATTTAGTACTGGCCACCTCTGCTTAGGGCACACCTGCAATTCTGAAGGGGACAAGGATGTGCTCACTGGTTGTTCGGCACCTCCTTCAGGCCCCGCTGCACATAATCCTCCACAGCACACGGGCATCAGCATGAATGCCTTCAGCATGGGCAAAGGTACACCCCCAGCCACTTCATGGCTTTTGCTTCAGGCCTGCTTTAGCAAAGAAGGCTTAAATAGGAGCAGGGGCGCGGGCGGGCAGGCAGACATCCTCTCAAACAGATGCACGGGCCTTTTCCTCCTAGTTTTTCCTGGTGCCTCTGAGCACCTCCGTACTTTGCTGACTTTCTTTGACACACCGTATCAGTGAAACACAATACTTGCCCTTCCACAACTCTTTTGGTAACACACAGGAAAATAAGACTCTGGCCAAAATTGTAAGAGGAGCAGTAAAATTAATTTCAGAAGTGGCCCGCGAAACATGACCAAGCACTTGGTTGACCCCAGGGATGGTGCTGAAATTAAATTTAACCAGCCTGGTTTCCTGACATCACGGCCGGACAGGACCAGGCTGGCAGAGTGGTTGTGTTTTTGTCATCCCTTGCCTTACGGCAGAGATCACCTTTTATTTTAGGAATTAAGTGTGCAGGATGGGTCCCCCCTCATGAGCCGCTTATGTTTTGCCGGATGGGGCCACAGAAAGTCAGGCCCTTACGATGGCAGTCGCATGTGCCTGGGGCAGAGGAGGAGAGAGGGAACAAGTCCAGAATGGTATTTTAAAAAAATAACCCTTTTTTGGGGGGGGGGAGACCAACACCATTTGCTGTATATGTGTATTTATTGGCCTTTCTAAAACCATGCACTTTATTGTTAAGGAACTTTATCCTTCATAAATTCTCATATAATTACTGCACCTGTTGAGGAGGTCACGGGTCAGTGTTGGCTCAGCCCTTTTTTTTAAGGGAGGGAGGACCTTACTTTCAAACTCCACAATCCATTTCTTTATGAAATCGGAACCACCGAGTCCCCCCCCCCGCCTTGAGACTCCCATTGGGGGTCCTGCCAAGATTCCCTCAGGTTTGAGTATCATTCCATACTCAGACAACTGTCTGGGTAGTCCTGAATTGGAGCTTAGAGGGTCTGCCTCAGTTTCCAAAAGATAATTTTAAAATGTAATGCCATTCAGGGTAATTTTGTATTATTTACATGTGTGTTAACTACAATGTGTGAGGGGTTTTTTTTGGAGGGTGGGGTAATTTTCCAGTTAAGTGGCCTAAAGAATTTGAGGGGGGGGTCTTCCTGCTGGTAAAAAGGTACTTGTCAGAGGAAGCAGCTGTGGCGTCTTCAGTGTTTCTTGTTCACAGCTGGCTCAGAGGTTCCCCATCAAGCCTTGACGGGCCTGATTACATTGCAGGGAAGCTCTAGGAACGATTGTCGACGTGTCCTAGTTTTGTCAACCCCATCTCAGACTCTGAGGAACACAGGCACCTTTCCAAGTCTTGCACTTTTAAAAATGCATTTTTGTACATCTATAAGCTAAAGGCTGGTGGATCTAGCCAGGTTGGCTTGACAAGTGCAGTCTAACCTAAGCTGTATATATTGTGACATATTCCACTATGTAAAAAAAGGAAAAAGAAGCAAACAAAGGCTTAGAGAGTTGAATATTTAGTTTATTTTATATGATGTCAAATATAGATAAAATTTATAAATGTTCCTATTCATAAAAAGTATTTTGTAAAAACAAGGCAGGGAGGGGGAGAGGAAGTGTCTTATGGGGGCAAAAAAATATGTAAATCCTTGTCTGGAATAACTCACACCTTCGTGAAGCTCTGTTGGGTAAGAGCCAGTGTGTCTCCATATGCTTTAAAAGATTGTACATACTATTTTGGAAAGATAAAAATAAAACTGTACTTTTAAGAACTCAAAACTCAGTGGCTGCTGTTTATTTTCATGCCTGGCTGTTTGTGCCCAAATGTACCTGGAGGCCCTGAGATTAGGGGGGTGGGACTGGCTGTGATGGCACGCAGAAACAGAGATCAGGTAGGATTCCCATAATACAAACTATTTACACCCCCGTCTCCCCCATCCTCAAAAGTATTTTAGAATACACTCGCTAAACACCGCAGCTGTGAAATGTCCAATAAGAACTGCTGCATGCTGCTGCCTCGTGTTACATCCTTCCTCAATATCACACACACACACACCCCTTTCATAAAGCCTAAGGGGTAGTCTGATGGGCCCTCCTCCCCACTCACATCTGTGACTGCCCTGAAAGCAAGGCAGACCCTTGGCCCTGCAAACTCCTCACGGCCTGCTCTGAGTGCCAGCAAGGTCTCCAGGGGCTCAGGCAGGGAAGACTGTTTCCCTGTACTGGCTCCCTTTTAACTTGGGGGACTGAGGACAAAGCACCTTTTCTACCAGTGGGCTGTACCCCCCCCCCCAAGACAGAAGAGGATTTTCATATATCCACACTGCAGTTCCTTGTGCCTTTCCCTTCCTTCCCGTTTAGTTTGTCCAAAGTTGAAACCACCAACCTCTTTGGACTGGGAACCTTTCTTTTTAAATCACAGTTG